GGCAGCAGCAGGGTCAGGCTGCGGTGTCAGCCGGGCAGCGGCAGGGCCAGGCTGCGAGGACAGCTGGGGAGCTGCAGGGCCAGGCTCGGGGGACAGGCCGGGAGAGGCAGGGCCGGACCGGGAGGATACGCTGGGAAAGGTAGCGTCAGACTGGGAAGACACACTGGGAAAGGCAGGGGCAGACTGGGAGGACAGGCTGGGATCGGAAGGGCCAGACTGGGAGGACGGGCTGGGAGAGGCACGATTTGGGTACACATTGGGAGTTGTGGTCCTCTGGATGGCCATGGGCGGCAGGGAGCTTCTGCCACCCTGTTCTCCGTGGGTCTTCAGTCCGCAGAATAAGCGATCAGCGCGGGGGACAGGCTCGCTGGCCATATACAGATCGTGAGGTGACAGTTTGGGACCTGGAGGGCACCATGATGTTTGGTCTGTACCCTCTTGCGCAGTCCTCCCCACTTTTCTGAAGTCCCGTCCCTCGAGGGCGCAGCTTTGTAGCAGTAAGAATGTTGCCATAAGGTGGTTATATTCTTTCTTCCTGAGGGTGTCCATCACTTCAAGTTGATCGAAACCCATCTCTGCCATGTGGGTTAGAATGGCCCTCTTGGCGGACAAAGGGAGCGGCCCAGAAGGACTTTGGGGCCGGACACCCTGGCGCCACTGCTCATGCAGCAGCTCCTGCGCTGTTGGTCGCCTTTTGGCGCTCCTGTTCATGATCTTTCCAATCAAGTTTTTTACTTTCACAGAGACAAAGTCTGGGTAGCGCACAATCCCAAAAATGATGGTATCATTTATCTCTGGTGGCATTCCAGAGAAGAGATGCCTCCCTGTGATCGTCTCATATAATATTACCCCGAGGGCCCAGACATCCAGAGGAGGGCCTTCGTAGGTGGGATACAGGAATCGTTCCGGGGCAAAATAGGCTGGCGTCCCACCAGGCACGCTCAGCTCCTGCCCGGGGACGAACCGGAACGCTAACCCGAAGTCACATAGTTTAGCTCGGCCATTGGTGTTGAGCAAAACATTTCCGGGCTTGAGGTCCCCATGTACGATACCCTGCCTGTGGCAGTAATTTACCGCTTCCAAGATGTCTTGGAAAATAGTCAGGGCATCCTCCTCGTACAGCCTGTTCCTTTTGCCGCAGAAGAGCACTTGCCCCAGGTTGATCCCGTGCACAAATTCTAGTACAAGATGTACGTATTCCTTCGATTCTGTTACCTCCAGCAGCTGTGTGATGTTACGGTGTTGAAGGTCCTTCAGTATGGCAACCTCCGTTGCAATGTAGGCCGCTTGCCCCTTTGTCTTTTTTAATTCCTTTATGGCGACCCACTTGTATGTGCCGTAGTGTCGCCCTACAAACACCTTGCCAAAGCTGCCTCGGCCAATGAAGCCCAGCACCTTATAGTTGTCTTCGATTTGATAACTAGACCTGCTGGTTGTGAGGCCCAGCCAAGATGTTCCCTCGCTACAGTCTCCAGGACCTCCGCCTGGCACAGTGTCACGATGTCTTCTGCTCCCCATCGCTCCAAATAGATTACTAAATTTTCAGCGTCAATCTCCACTCCACTCTCTCTCAGAGTCTCCTTCCACCCACAGCAGACCCACCTGAGCCACGGCCTTATATAGCAAACTGCTTCT